TTGTGTCAAGCACATTTGTGCATTTGTTGCTGTTATCATTCTCAAAACATTTTCTTTCTACTTGAGCCCTTGGTATCAGCTCCTCATTTTTCCTCCTCACTCCCCACCTCCCCCTACCTCACGAACCCTTGATAATTTATAAATTAATATTATTTGGTCATTCCTTACACTGTCCGATGTCTCCCTTCACCCACTTTTCTGTTGTCTGTCCCCCAGGGAGGGGGTTATCTGTAGATCATTGTGATAGGTTCCACCTTTCTCCCCCCACCTTTCCTTTACCCTCCTGGTATCACTACTCTCATTATTGGTCCTGAGAGGTTTATCTGTCCTGGATTCCCTGTCTTTCCAGCTCTTACTTGTACTCATGTACATGCTCTGATCTAGCCAGATTTGAAAGGTAGTATGGGGATCATAATAGTGGTGGTGGTGATGGTGGTGGGGAAGCATTAAAGAACTAGAGGAAAGTCGTATGTTTCATCATTGCTACACTGCACCCTGACTGGCTTGTCTCCTCCCTGTGACCCTTCTGGAGGGGGATGACCAGTTGCCTACAGATGGGCTTTGAGTCTCCACTCCACATGCCCCCTCATTCACAATGATATGATGTTTTGTTCTTTGATGCCTGCTGCCTGATCCCATCGACACCCCATGATCACACAGGCTGGTGTGCATCTTCCATGTGGGCTTTGTTACTTCTCAGCTAAATTGCCACTTGTTTATCTTCAAGCCTTTAAAACTCCAGATGCTATATCTTTGCTAGCTGGTCACCATCAACTTTCTTCACCACATTTGCTTATGCACCCACTGTGTCTTCAGAGATCGTGTTGGGAAGGTGAATATCATGGAATGACAGTTTAATTGAACAAAGTGTTCTTGCATTGAGGGTGTACTTGAGTAGCAGCCCAATATCCATCTGCTACCTTATTACTAAACCTATAAATATATGCACATAGATCTATTTCCCTATTGTCATATGTAAATACATTTACATATGTCCATGCCTGTATTTAGACCTTTGTAAATGCTCTTTTCCTCCTAGTTCTTTCCTCTATTTCTTTTTACTTTTCTCTTGTCCCACTATCATGCTCAGCCTTCATTTGGGTTTCAGTAATTCCTCTCGGTTCCATTGCCCTTGATCAAGCTCTACCAGGCCTCCTAAACTCTCCTTGCCATTGATTTTGGATCACTTGTTTTTCCCTTGTCTCTGGGTTTGCTAGCACCACTCCCCCCGCCCCCCCCACCTCTCCCTTTTCCATGTTTCCCCCCAGCCCCCTGAACCGTCAGTACAGTTGTTTTCTACTCCAGATTGTTTATCCCACCTATCCTATCTAGATAGACTTGCAGAGATAATGCACAAAAAATAAGACAGAGCAAAACAAAGGAACAAAAGAAAATAAAACAACCACCGAAAAACCTATGACAAAAAAAGAAAAAGAAAAGCCAGTAAATAGTTCTAGGTCTCTTTGTTGACCTTTAGGAGTGTTTTCCGGTTGAGTCTGATGAGGTGCCACACCCTGGCCCCAAAGTCTGTATTTGGTATTCCCTCAGGACTTCATTGCTCTGCTCCCCTTGCTGTTCTGTTGCACACCCTTAGTGTTTTGCCTCAGTATAGTGGAGTCGGATTAGGTGCAATTCCCACACTGTGTCTCCAGTGTTGTCCCCCGTAGAGCTATGGGTCAGTGAGGGACATCTGTCTTATAGTGGGGCAGGCCATATGGTCCTCTCTGTGTATTGGCCACTCTGAGCAGAGATATCATCCTCAAGGATTGGTGAGCCAGGATGTGCTTCACTCTCTTTTCTTTCCCCTTCATTTGCTCCTGAGTGCTCTGATCAGACATGTCCCTCTCCCTGAGCTGTAGCTTCAGTGCTGTCCTCTGAAGTGAATTCTTCTGCCGGGAGGGGGGTGGTCCAGGTAGTTGAGATTGGCGCTGGCCCCTCAGATCTCTCTACTGGGTCCCTGCTTTATGCCGATACATTGCATTCATGTCTTGGAGCACCGGGTTGATGTCTGGTCCCTCTTTCCCTGTGGAGATGTAAACAATATCCTTGCCTTGGGTGGGTTAGTGCCCTGTTTCCTCGCTACCCATTTCTTTTTTTTTTTTTCTCTCCCCCCCTACTTTTTAGTTGGCTACCATAAGTGTCCCTGGATTTGGAAGCACAGGTGATTTTTTTTTTTTGGCTGGTGGTATCATTCATTATTAATAAGAACATCTCTTTAAAGGAAAAAGCTAATGCTAGGTTGGGTTCTCTAGGATATTTTCTAGATGTCTTTCAGTCCCAGGTACCAGTTGACACCTCGGTGCATTATGTATTACTTCAATGGCTTAAGACCATTGCGTTATTGATTTACCTAAACACTAAAAGAAATTTTGCATGTTTTGCAATTTGGTTTGTTACCTACAATGGATTTATTTTTAACCAGAAATATTAAACACAGAAAGCATTTATGAAGTTTACATAAGCTAAGAATTCAAACACACTGCCACTAATTTGATTCCCACTCATAGTAACCCTGTAAAACAGGATAAAATTGCCCCATGGTTTTCTGAGATTGTAACACTTTTTTTGTCATTATTATAAAATTTCAATTTTCAGATACTTCATGGGGTATAACCAAACTATCTTATATTCTTTACATTTAATGTAATTATCTTTGAAAAGAAAGACAATCCATTCTTTGCTTTAGAAAATTAATTTTAAGAGGGCTTTTTAAAAAATTCACATTTAAAAAAAAAATTCACATTTATAGATAAAATTCCATTTTGTATTATTTCTTACTTCTTATATACTGTGATTTAATGAATTTTACATTATTTATCATTTTTCTTCTTTGAAAGTCCTGTGTACATTTGACAACATTTATTTTTTTAATCTTCTTGTAGCAACTTGCTTTTTGTCACAATACCCAATTATGGATGCTGCACGGGTTTGCTCCTACTTCCCTCCTGTTCACTGACTTTACAATAGGTAGAGGCGGGGATGCCAAATGATGTACATAAGATGCCAAGACCTGGTTCACTGACAATGGCTATTCTTAAATAAAACGTAACCTTCACATTAAGTGATGCAGACCTGGACGTGTCCAAACATGTTGTAGATGACTGATGATGTGTTTCCCACGATGCAGTATGTGGCTAAGTTCATGGTGAAAGCTAGTACTCCAGGCAGCAGCACCATTACCGAAGCAGACTTTGACCAGGGACCAGATGAGATTGAAACTCTTTACAGGAGTAGAAACCTTGTCTTGCTCCTGCGTAGCACCTGGTGATTTCAAAGTGCTGACCTTGTGGTTAGCAGCCTAATACAGAACCACTTCGCCACATCCCAATGGATAAAATGTGGTGACGGATCTAAGTCAGCCCTTATTAAAATCCCTCTTCCTCCTCCTCATCACACAGCAAGAGGCTTTTTTGAGAGACGAGGTACATGTGTGATTTTCATCGGGAGTGACAGTTAACACCTTTGAAAAAAGCACTTATGAGTTTTCATAGACTTCCTGGGTCTCCCCAAGGTGTGTGCTCTCTACTAACTGAAAAGGGCAGAGATCAAACACGCGCAGGAATTCAGGGAGAAGCCACGGCCCTCTGTTCCCACGTAGCTGCGGTCTGGCAACCTCTGAACCAGCAGGATCACCGGGACTTGGGATTGACCCAATGACAATATCTTTTTCGGTTTTTATGTGTGTATGTTTTTTTCTTTTTTAATGATTGATAATTTCATTTATGTAGAGTAAATTTCTGGTTACTCATGACGCTTCTGGATATTGATAGTATTTTTTGACAATACATTTGTGTGAGAGTCATTCAAACTTTTTCCCCCGTCTGTTTGCTTTTTACGGTCCTCCCTCACGTTGCAATGAAGCCCGTAGGAAAGCGTCTGTTAGAATGAAGGATGAAATTCTGAAGTCAGTTATTAGTTCAGGTGATCGGACCAGTTTCTGAATGTGAGTCTCTCTTAGGATAAGAAAAGGAAGGCCTGAAATGCAGGGAGAGACCTTGTAATCATCTCACCTGCACAGGGAAATATGTGAGTTCCTGCGTCCCTCTTCTGCTTTCATGGTTAAGGTTCTCAGTTACTAGTGTCCAGCTTGGGGAGTGTCTTCTAAAATAAAGATAATATTTATTCAATGAATGGTAGATATTAGGCTAATGAAAAAACCCTCCCAACTCACTGTCATCGAGTTAATCCCAACTCATAGAACAGAGTAGAACTGCCCCTGTGGGTTTCCAAAAAACGATCTCTCTTTATGAGAGCACAAAGCCTCATCTCTCTCCTATTGAGCTCTTCATGGTATCAAACTGCTGACCTTGTGTTTAGCAGCCCAAGAATAAATCACTACATCACCAGGACTAATAGAAACTTTAAAAAAAAGTTTTATATGGTTCATTGCCAATGCATTAAATTTAAAAAGTTTAAAAGGTAAACAAAAGTTTACCTGTAGTTTTTTTTCTGAAAATAGAATTATTTTAAAACTAAAAAATACAATAAAATACAATGAAAAATTTGCCTATAATTGACGTGTTTCCTGTCCAATAGAGACTGACAAGCATTCTGGTGATGTCTTGCAGGGGGAAAAAAAAAGAGAATTGATGGAGCAGGAGTAACAGACATAAACAAAACAAGCATCTTGCTTCGACAGCCCATTTTGAGCCAGAGCTTCCTAGTTAACCAGTACAAAGCCTGCTTGTGCTGCTGGGAGGCCTGAAGTCCTGATTTGCTTTTTGTTTCTTTTCTAAGAGCCTGGTCAAGCTGACAGTAGAAGAGTACAGATAAGACCATTGGTAGTGCTATTTTAAATCATCATCTAGACCTTTCAAAGATTTTGTGATGGGAGAGGAGACTAAAAAATAGTAATAACCATAGCGTCAAAGAATGTTTCTGGTATGCATGTTGCCTTATTTTCAACAATCCTTGTTTCATTCTTAATGAAACAATGAGAAAAATTCATCGGAGTTTACCATTGAAGGTTTATTTCTAATTTATTGTCATTTTATTTCCAGGTGGAACACCAGTATTCCCACAAGTTCACAGTAGTGGTGTTAAGTGCCACCAAAGTGACCAAGGGGGCTTTCGGTGACATGCGTAAGTCCCTTTGCTTTGCTGTTTTAAAACGCGTGGTTATGCTACCTCCTGCTATGTTCCTGGCCAAGCCAGAGGCTTTACCTTCTTTAGACGTGGTTATCTCTGTGGAGATGTTTGAAAACATTCTGAACATTTTTTTTTAATGTCACAATAGTCTATGACCTTTGTTTTATATTCGCTGACAGCCCATGCAGTCATGCAAAATGACTATCTGTTGACAATAAAATGAAAGGAAATTCTATTTCGAAGAAGTGTTGAGATAAGTGTGCAAACAAGCAGATTCTCTGAGATGCTGTACCTAGCAGATTTGAAAACAAAACCCAACACCAAACACTACAGTTTCTATAGTTCTTCTGTTTTTGAACGTGTTTATTAGATGGGGCATATCCCTAGGATTTGGTGGAGGACAGCTTGAAATCATGTGAACCACGGAGGATAACACTGGCAGTATCTTTCTCCATGTTTCTAAAACATGTTTGGTTTGCTTCCTCCCCAAATTGCCCAAGGGCCATGGAGGTGGGATGACAGAATCAGACAGCCGCATATTCTGACGATGGAGTCTGTCAAGCTTTAGATCAGGACGAAACATGGCCAGGGGAAAAGTAACCCTCAGAATAAATTTTGGAGAAAGAGTGGAGACTTCAGTGTATCCACTGGGAAACAAAGCTTGTCTGACGAAGTGACATTTGAATTGGCTTCTACAGGAAACGTATATTGTTAGGAGAGGAGAGAGAAAGTAACATGTTCAAAGGCAAGAGAAAGGCTGAGAGTTTGAAAAGAATTTAAATAGGTCCATTGTCTCTAGAAAATGCCCAGGTGGTTCAGTGGGTGACCTGTTGGGCTGCTCATCAGAAGATCAGCAGTGGAAGCCACCAGCTGCTCTGTAGGAAGAACATGAGGCTTTCTGCTCCCATCCAGTTTTACACGTGCACTTCTCCTCTGCCCTTCAGGGTTGATATAAGTGGGCAATGACTCCGTGAGTGACAGGGGGATGGTCAGATTGCCTTGTAGCGGTTTTCAACCTGTGGGTCTTGACCCCTTTGGGGGCCGAATGACCCTTTCACAGGGGTTGCCTAATTCATAACAGTTGCAAAATTACAGTGATAAAGTAGCAACAGAAATCATTTTATGGTTGAAGGGCCACCACCACATGAGGAACTGTATTAAAGGTCGCTGCATTAGGAAGGTGGAGAACCACTGCTAGAGGCTGGATTGAAAAGGTGCAGCTGGGCAGATAGACCGGGATGAGGAACACTAGCATGACGAGGGTAAATATTGGGGTTTTATTATCAGTGCAATGGAAATCATTGGATGGTAGTTCAGGAGCAAACGACATGACTGGATTTGCATTTGTAAAACACGATGGTCCTTTCAGTAGTACGTTAAGTATATTGAAGGACTATAGATTTTAACTTGAACCGGATGGACTTGAGCATTTTGAAATGTAAATTGGAAGGGATCAATTGGGAGGAAGAAGTTAAGAATATAAAGAGGTAAACTTTGTGTCCCAACCTCCAAAGAGTGAGAATAGTTTAGTAAGTTAGTAAATTTTATACATAAGCAGGGCAATGAGAATCTGTTTAATAGCAAATCATTGAGATGAATTTTGTTTTTTCCGAGGGTCAAGGGAAGCGTAGTAATTTCTTCAAATCTAGTTTATCAGAAGGCTATATTAGAATTCCCATCTTCTATGTATACTCAGCCAATGCAATCACCCCTTTGCCTCTGTCCTTGTGAACTTATTTTGCTGAGCCTGTGCCCTTTCATCATGTAAATGACAGTGTACTAGAAGACAGGCTGCTGAGTAAGAAGTCCCATTAGAAACCACGCTTGGAAACTGGTAGTCTGAGTGGCTTCTACAATAGGCACATGCTTTACCAGGGAAGACGTTGTACTCCTGGTTGGAAGTCAGTAATTTTCCAGGCATGCAAAAGATGAAACTAATTTGCCTTAAAAAAAAAAAACCATCTGTATTATCTTTTAAACAAAGCAGCAGAACCCTTTTCTATTGGCACAGAGCTGTGCCTTCTGGATGAATCCAACAGCAGTTCAAACTCTATAACCTATGAGCTTCATTGATCTCTTTTCTGATTAACTTTCACTTTTCGCCTCAGGCCCTTTGGCAGTGATTATTATCATTCAGACAGGGAAGAGAGAATATGGCAAATGTCATTTTCAACCCATCTGGATTGGGATTGACAGCAGTAGGCAAACATGAACTTCACTCAATTCTCTTCATGAACAGATAATAGGTATGTTTTGGATGTTCATGGTGTATACAACACAGAGTAGACCCTTGGTCTCGTGAGGCTATCTTCTTAAAGTGAAGGACCCGTAGAACACTAGCTATTGGACATTAATAAGCGAAGGGGCAGTGTCAGGGAGTTCTGTTAAAATTTTTATTTGGCATTTGTCACTTGATTTGTTGTTATTTGAATTATTGTGTATCTTTTGTGCGCATCGAGGTTGTTGTCAACCCCTTAGATCCGGGCAGAGGATCCCTGGTTATGCTGTGGGTTGTTAACTTCAGAGTCAAAACCACCCGTTGTTCTGCTGGAGAAAGAGGAGGCTTTCTATCCCTGTAGAGAGGGACTGTCTTCGAATCGCGCAGGAGCAGTTCTACCCAGTCCTGGAGGGTCACTGAGAGTCAGAAACAACTGAATGACAGTGAGTTTCTAATCCTTGAATGAGTTTGCAGGACCTCAGGAAATACCAAAAGAGGTGAGAGGAACTTTTAGAGGACTGATTCAATGTAAGGTTAATATGAAAAGGTACAGGGCCAATACACTGTGTCCTGGAGTTGTCTTTGAGAAACTGTAGGAGCCTATAGTGTGTCGTCATTATTAGCTATCACTTTTTGAGAGGTTTTGATGATATTGCTGACTGAGCTTAATGGGTAGAAATTTCCCCCCAAACTGAATTTGGGGTGCTCAATAATGGATGTTCTTTGAAGATGAATAAGACTAGAACTATAGTATTCTAAAAGTCTCCAAAGACCAGGATAGCATATCTCTTTTGTACTTTATAAATCTACATTCATTAAAAAAGAAAGATATTTTCCATAAAATTTTACATGTTGGTAAAGAACGTAAGTTGTTATTGGACTTTTCTGTTTTGTCTACAGATGTGGAGACTTTTTCAAGAAAGATGAAAGCATTTGTTGTAAACTAAAGTGTCCCACCCAAAACAAGTAATTCCTGGTTTCAAAAAACCCCTCGTAACCTGTTTCTTTTCTTCCTCTCTTTTTTAGTGTAAAACGAAGCTTATCCCTGTTTTCGTAAGAGCCCTGGGGGGGGGGGGGAGTGGTTATGCTTTGGGCCCGTGGGAAAATGACTGGACTTTCTACTCCCATCAACAACTGCAGTTTCAGAAATCCACAGGGGCCGCTTTGAGTCAGCATTGACTCAATTGCAGTGAGTTTTATGCCTATTTCCAAGTTTATTCACTGATAAATCATCATATTATGATATCCCAATTCAAAACCAAACTCGCTGCAATTGAGTTGATTCTAATTCACAGCGACCTTACAGTGATTAGCTCTATTTAAAATGATACTTCTGCATGATTGACATGTCCTAATAAGACCAGGCGCAGCCCATGCACTATTATTTGAGGAGTCAGTGCTGACATATTAATTATAATGGCCCAAACCTGCCTTCATTTCACACGAGGCGCCAAGAACATGGCACCTGCCAGCTCCTTCCTTTGTTGGTGGCTAATGGCTAGAGGCTCCGATGATGAAGGGACAATTTGAAGTTCACATTAAAACCTGACCCAGAATGATACACACACACACACACACACACACACACGCAAACATACATATATATAGTGTTTGCAACTCATTGGGTAGTATAAATCTGACTCTGGAAGCTACTTAAATGGGGGGTTAGATGCTCAGTGTGGATAAATGTGTGTTAGACTCCAGATTCTGTATTATCATTTTCCTCTTCCAGCAGAAGGTGTGGGCTTGCAATATTTATGTTGGAAATAGAGTGCCCTTTGTGCGTATATGAAATGGAACACACAATCCTGACCACGCTCCTTATGTTATAACCAAATGAAATAGCTGGCACACCGTGGCTACTGAATTTCTGCTTCTTTTTAAAAGGTCGTAGGGAAAACAGAAATTGTGCATGATAATGAGGTCTAGTCTGAATTCAGGACTGAATATAGCTATTTTTCATTGCTGAACTGTCTTTCAATGCAGTTACTGAATGCTGCAGTGTTTTTTAAACTACAAACTATGATACAAATTATAATAGATATTTCAAAAATCCTAATTGTGAATGTAGATTGAGGAGGCTTGCTCTCTTTCTTCTTTAATTTTTATTGTCTATTACTCACTGTGGAAGAGACATTGGAAATACAATGGTGATGAAGACAAAAATAATCTGTGCTTTGTGGAGTTTACAGTCTAGAAAAGAAGGCGAATAAATAGGTACTTGTAGGGGAAGGGACCACTACAGTGGTCACAAAAATTTAACTATGTGGGAAAATATGAGTAAGTTTAAGATCCTGTAATGAACGGAATCAATCCAGTTACCTCAAACCGCACAATAGTCACTGCCATTGAGTTGCTCTCAATGCACAGCGACCCTATGGAGGGCTTCAGACAAGATGGATATTTGCTAAAGAACACCTTCCCTTTCTCTCCGGGAGCAGCTGGTCCTTTGAAATGTTTACTTTTCAGTCCGTGGTTGTAACCCTTACCTGGCAATGCCACCAGGGTTCCATTAGAAACAAAACAAACAAGCAAACAAACAAAACCCCCACATGCTCTCATAAGATCCGTGTGCCTTCTTCCTGTAAGATTCCAGGGAGAGTCCCTCCTTGGCTCCCCCCCATCTCGGGGGGCACCAGCCAGATTCTTTTTCATTTTTTCAGTTCCTCTACTGGCTCCTGAAGTCTTTTTCATCACAGGGTAAGTATGCTCGGATGTGCAAGGGCAATTGTAGGTTGGCAGATAGAACTAACTTTTCTTGTGCAACACAGCTTGT